AACCACTTTGAATACACAGATACAAAATGGACATTCATCGGTATACCCCATTGGTTCTAAGTTCCGTTATTGATTATAGGTGTGACCAATAATTTTTTTGACAGCACCCACTGTGATGGTTTTGTGGTAGTATTGTGGTTTTCATTTGCAATTTCCTAATGATTAGTGAAGCTGAGTATCTTCATGTTTTGTTTTGTTTTCTTTTTTCTTTTTTTTTTTTTTTTTTCAGAACTGGGGATTGAACTCATATCCTTGCGTTTGCCAGTCAAGCGCTTATCCTGCTGAGCCATCTCCCCGGCCCCATTGTTTTGTTTTCTTACCAAGAATTGAACTCAGCTTTTTATGTGTTTGGTAGCCTTTGTTCTTGTTTTTTTTCTATATTTAGGACAGGGTCTATAGGTTGTACAGGGTCTCACTATGTAGATCCGTCTTGTAGTGATCCTGTTTTCAGCCTCCCAAGCACTGGGATTATAGGCGCACGCCACCACACCCAGTCACAATCACAGTTTTAGCGTGCCCCAGGGGCAGGGCTTCCCCCACCCCCAGGGGATAGAACTCAGGATCTTGAGCTTGCTAGGTACTGTTTTGCTTTTCAGTACTCACTAAAATCACCCTGGCTAGGCTTCACTTTGCATTTCTCCTACCTCAGCCTCCTGAGTGCTGAGATTACTTGTATACACCACCCTGGATGCTTTTTTTCCCCGTGATACTGGGGCCAAATCCATGGAGCGAGCACTGAGCTACAGGGTCTCACTTAAGCTGGTCTCAAATTTGCAATCTTCTTATGTCTGCCTCCTTATTAGTTGGGATTATAGCTATGCTCTTGCCTAGCTCATCTGTCATCTTTTAAATTGTAGAGGTGGTTGTTTTAAGTTTCAGGAGTTCTTTATACCTGAATATTAGCCTCTTAAAATAGAGCCTGGGCATATTTGGTGATATTTGGCATATTTGGTCTCACTGTGCAGTTCAGGCTGGTCTTGAACTCACTCTATAGCCCAGGCTGGCCTCCAGCTCACAAGATCGTCCTGCCTCAGCCTCCCGAGTGCTGAGGTTATAGGCGTGTGCCACCATGCCCGGTACCTCAGTTTTTTGTTTAAGGTTCCCAGGTTGAGAACTATTAGGCAGTTACATAGCATATTTAAGTCACTTTTCTTGGACACTTCATTTCAAAACGAAGTATAGAAATCTCCTCCCACCTGGTTGGTTACTTTGGCTGTTCATCAGTACTGTTCAGTCCTGGGTAGGAGCTTTACTTTCTTGGGTTACCGAACTCAGTTCCTCCTTGCATGGGTAACCACTACTGTAGTTTATATTTATTCCTTATAAAAAAAAAGAAAAAATATCCATATATTACTACTCCTACTTACAACTACTCTCAAAATGATACATATCTTTATGGCCATCACTTTCTTGGTGCAGTTACCTTTTTAAAGACTTTATCATAACTCAGTACTTTAAAATTGCTTATGGAATCACAGCTTTTCCTAGCTATTTCACGTGAACTTATTATATATGTGTATTCTAGGGTACATAGCTCACACAGTGACAATTCATTTACTTGTCATCTCCATCTTTCTATCACCACCCCTGGCATCCTTGAAAAACAGCTTTGCTTTTTGGTACCAACAAGATGCTGTAGACCTATTCTTACTATTATTTTTTTTTTTTTGGCAGTACTGGGGATTGAACTCATGACCTTGAACTTGCCAGGCAAGCACTTAGTCTACTGAGCTATCTCCCCAGCCCTATTCTT